ATATGTCTTGTTCTTCACCACTCCTTTCATCTAGATTTACAAGATTACTGGGTGAAGCACATTTAGAGAATGCATAAGAAAGCATCCGCACAGCATCAGTAAAACTCTCTGCCTTTAACTCGGGATTAAGACTTTCTCTGACAAGTTCCTGGACTAAACGATGGGTGCTGACAGAGCGTGCTTCGACATACGTAAAAAGTGAAAAGTCAGTCAACAATTTTAGAACCTGCCGGCAACCCAATGGCGATGACACACATTTACGGTACGCGACGTCGTGCACTTCGGGGGTTCCAACGTTGACCAATTTTTCTTCGATCTCGTTTCCATTGAAAAATGAAGTAGCATTCATAAATCGAATAGCAGCATGACCATTCTGGCGCTTCTTCATATACTCCATATTGATAAGCCATGTTGTGTGAACAGCCAAACGTTCAGATGACTCTTTACCTGGTGATACAGGGCGTGCCGGTTGCTGACTGAGCAGTCGCAAGCGTTCAGTTTTATATTGCTCCAGGTATGAGGACAAAGTGCAACTGAGCATATCAATACAAGCTCCAGCTTTTTCCAAAGCAAGTGGCAGTCTTCCGAGCTCTTCACAAAGACATTCTGCGACACTCTCCACATTTTCATCAAGATTCACGCCAGTTCTCGAAGAAAGAAATTCCTTTGCTTCTTTAGAGAGGAAACATTTGAGTTGAATACACGAATTCTCCTCGAAGACTGAAACTTCGTTAACAAGTAGGTTTGGGTTTCTTCTTGTTAGCACGACAAAATGTCCAAAGATATTTTCTTGTGCAGGAAAGGAAAGAAATTTCATCATATTGGACGACAGATCCAGCTGATCCAAGCAGTCAAGGACAATAAGACATTGATCATGTGAACTGCTAATTTTTTTCAATGTATTTGACAAAGTTAAATCAAATGAACCAAGTAACGCATTAATCTTTAATGCGACGTCGTTTACTGTTTTCTCAAGAAACGTATCATCTTCAGCCGAGAACCAATAAACACCTCCCTTGTAGAAATCCTTCATCTGATGAGCATACTCGGCAACTAAGCTTGTTTTACCAATTCCACCCAAACCACATACTGCTGCAACACGAACTTTCTTTTCGTTCGAAGTTTCCTCAACTCTCAGAATACGTTTAAGCTCCTGCATTTCTGCAGTTCGACCAGCAAAATAACGATTTCGTGGGGGTGCAGTGAAGACATAGGGAATTTTCTCCTCTTCCTTAATATAAAATCTTGAAAGTTCAGTAGTAACTTTTTTCTCTAGAAGCTTTATTTCCTCAGAATGTCTTTCTACTTTTAAGGAAATGTTACTTCGATGAGTCTCGTGTTTTTGTATTTTCAAGGTATTGTTAACTCCCTGAATCTCGCATTTTTCTATTTTCAAGGCATTGTTAGCTCCTTGAATCAAGGTTGACTGAATCTCACTAATATTCCAAAGTAGTGTTGTCATCTGTAAAATGATCAATATTTTACGTTAAGCTTTATAAACTTTTAATTTATAGACCTTTGCGTCCTTCATGGATACTTTAATATTAATCTTGACGTAGGGTACCAGTGAATGGCGGAGAATGTAAACTGAGAACTTGTGTGTATGATGCAACTATACTACCTGCCGGAAAAATAGAACTTCGACGTTTCGAGCGAAAGCCTTTACTTCTAGTCTTTTTGAAAGCAAAAACGCCTGCGTGGAAGAAAGTGTACAGAGGTACTAATTGTTTTGGTGTACTAAATAAATTAAAACCTGATTTTTCTTGAGCATCCATGTCTGGACAGCTTGGCGAACTTCGTCGATTTCACTCCTAAGTATAGTCAATATTTCGACGTCGACAGGTTGACCAAAACACAACTGCAACCCTGTAACAAATTTACCTATTGTTATTTCTTCATGAAATAATCTTTGTCAGATGTGGCAGTCTAGTTCTTGCTAGTTTACAAGTAAGTTTCACAAATTACTGACAACATACTGTATATTGAACAGAAAGTCTACAGAATTGGGACGATATGAATGATATTTTACACAGCCTGTTTTGAACGTTTGTGGAACATCATTGTAATAACTTTTTTCTGAAGGGTTCTGGTCAGAGAGGAGATATCGTGATTTGGGGCGTCGTCTCATTCGATAGAACTGAATGTTGATCGGGTTTTATCAAAAGAAATTTCGAGTGTAATTCTTATTCATCTTATACATTTGGGACCCAACCGAGAGCATGGAGCTGTGAAAAATACAACTATAGGCCTTCTGTTAGAGATCAGCCCTGTGAATCCAGTGCAGCACTGTAACCGAGCTACAGAGTCAAATTGACGAGCTTTAACAGTTTAAATTGCAGTTTAAGCTCGACAAATGGACTCTATCTAGCTCAGTTGGTTAGAGCACTCCAACAGAATCACAAGGCTAGTTCGATTCCTGCCAGAGGGCGTATACTCTACAGTTGCATTTTTATCGCGGCAAAATTTACACTCGAACTTTCCGTCCTAAAGAAGAGATAATATGTTCGGTTGATGTAAACATTTAATGATGGTAAGCAATCATTAATCTTCAATACACCCTTTCGATAATTACGTCATTTGGCCTGGGAGCCTCGCTCTCATGAATCGTGAGCCAATCACCTTGCGTAATTTACTAATGAGAGCGAAGCTCTAAGACCAAAAAGTATGTGTGACGTAATTATCGAAAGCGTGTATTGTAAATATCTCTAGGTACAGTAGATGGTTTTAAATACAGTAAAACAGACAGTTTTATCTAGGCACACTTCAAGTGAGTGAATTGTAATTTCTTTACCTTTATCTTTCCAACTATTCAGTTCATCACACAATTTCCGTTCATCTGCAGGAGACAAATTGACATTCTTAAGTAAAGTTTCCATAGTGTGAAAAGCAGCAATAAATTTTGCTTCAGTCCAGTTTGCGAAGTTGCAATGTGCCCACTCGTTTCTGATATCTGATCGAACTGTCTTTGCATGAGCAGCAGCTCCTACAAATGGGGCAGCTTCGCAAATCACTGATAAGACTGCAGATATGTCCATTGTTTGATCAAAGCCAGTGAACTTGGACATGAATGGTTGAACAAACAACTTTGCCAAAGACAATGGGTCTTTGACTGCATAATTAAATGCACGAGGTGATCTGAGGGTATGATTGTTGTTGATATTTTTATAGTTGAGGTCTAACGTTGATGGGTTTAACTGTATCTTATGTCGACCATAAACTTGTTTGTCAATTTCGCTCGGTGGTTGACATAAAACCTGATGCCAGTTTGCTATTTCGGTTGCAAGAATATTCCTCAATGCAGGAGTGAGCACTTTGGTCAAACATACACCAATGACAACCCATCTTCTTTCATCGTCCGTTATAGAAGTTGAAGTGAAGGCAGTAGCCATTACTGATCTACAATTATAACAAAGAGATGTTCTTTGAAGGTGTACCTTAGCGCCCTAATCAGGGTCGTAGCTAGCATTTTAGATTTTGAGAGTGTTTCTAAATTTCATGGGTGTGTACGTTCCAATTACCAGAATAGCCAAATACTTGGTTCCAGTTATGCTTGCCAACAATGGAGTATGTCTGCGGTTGTTCTATGCTTACAACCAAATACAAGGCGAGCATACGCTCATATTTCGCCGACTGAGATTACAGTGAGTTATTTTAAGAACTCCCGAAACATTTAAAACCATTTTATTACCATACGGTTCCCATTACCTACATATCCATCTAAACATAAAAACACACGGATGACTTTATACCAATTTCAACAAACTAGATTTTACCGACTTTTTTACAACATAACTGGGAGGAAATTCTGTCTGTTGTTATCCAACACTCCATTTTATGAACTTACAAGGCATAAAGTTGGTTCGTTCACTGCAACCAGGTATATCAATCATGTTTCGCTCGCTACTCTGGTTTAAATAAATGATTACAAAGCCCAGTCGAATTGTAATCAAGACCCAACGTTTCGACACTCCAGTCTAGTGTCTTCATCAGGGGTGATCTGAAACTGCGATCGAGGCTTCTTAAATACCCAAGGGATGACGTCACCTGCCAAGAAGATGCATATATTCTTCTGGCAAATAGGCGCCGTCATCCCTATTCAAAGCATGATGACTCATATTTATATGCCACGCTTCTAGGCAAAGTCTTTGACCATAGCGATTGTTTGTGGTAATTACTTTAGAGTTTTCCCACGCAATCTCGTGTTTGGTGTAACATACATGTTCGGCTAAAGCTGATTTTCCCTTGTCTAAAGTTGAAACAGCCTTTTGATGTTCTTTTAGCCGTGTACCAAACTGGCGTTTAGACTGACCCAAATACTCTTTATCGCAGTCACCGCATGGTATAGAATATATAGCATGAGTCTTCTGATTTTTTCAACAGGATCTTTTGGCTTTGCGAAAATATGGCCTAAGGTCAAATAGGGTTTTAAGGCAACCTTAATATTACAATTACTTAAGATTCTCTTGATTGGTTCTGTGACACCTTGAATGTATGGAACTATTGCAAAACCCTTAACAGAGGTATCACCCTCGGAGTTATTTTGGTTCCTACAAACAGGTGGTCTCAGGCAATCATTAAGAAAACGCTTTGGGTAATTGTTTTCCCCTAAAACATTTAGAACATATTCGTACGTTCATTAGCTTGAGAATCACTGTTTGACGGCAACGATTCAGCTCTTTGAAGCAAAGTTTTTGCTACGGATCTTTTATGGCTTACTGGGTGATGAGAGTCGTATGACAAGTATTTGTCTGTGTGTGTGGGTTTGCGATAAACATCAGTCTCTAACTTCCCTTCGACAGTTCTGTGTACATTCAAATCTAAAAAAGCTAAATGTCCATTTATTTCACGTTCTACCGTGAATTGGATGGACGGCTCAATAGAATTTAAATGTTGCAGCAGAATATCGATCTCATTTGTAGAAACCGCAGAGATGACATCATCGACGAAACGTTTCCAAAACGATAGGGACACCGGAACAGAGGCTAAAGCTCTTTGTTCGACATCTTCCATTACTAAATTAGCAATTACTGCCGAAACTGGTGACCCCATCGCTGTTCCAAAAACCTGTTGATAATAACAGCCCTCAAACACAAAATACGTGGCGTTGAGACAAAAAGACAGAAGATCAATAATATCTTCTACAGGCAAGGATGTTCTTTGTAACAAAGTGGCATCCTGTCTTAGTCTTTTTGCCGCAACCTTGATGGCAAGATCAACTGGGATATTTGTAAACAAGGAAACGACATCAAATGATACCAACACTTGATCTGCTTTAAGAGTTTTACCTCTTACAAATTCTGCAAAATGACAGGAATTTTTGACAGTGTTTTCGGTATTTCCCACCACAGGGGACAAAATTTTCGCCAAAAAACTTGAAACTCCATATGTAGGAGAATTCACAAAGGACACAATAGGTCTCAATGGAATTTCCGGTTTATGGATTTTCGGTAAACCATAGAAACGCGGAGATAGTCCATCACTGCTGTATAACTTTTCATATGTAGCCTTGCTGATAATATTGGATTTCTTCAAAAGAAGTAACTTGGCGTTTAAACCTCTTTGAGTCTTTCCAGTAGGATCAGACTTGAGAATAGAATACGTATTTCTGTCATTCAACAGTGAAAAAGCCTTCTCGGGATAATCATGTTTGTCCATAACAACAACGCAATTGCCTTTGTCCGCTGAAAGAATAACCCTGTCCGGATCTTTTTTAAGAGCAAGTAGAGCTTTGAAAACATTCGAATCAATGTTTTTTGGAGGTATTTTGGCGCGTCTAAGAATGCTACTGACCTCCGCTCTAACCAATCGCTTAGCATCATCGTCTAGTGGAAAAATTCCTTCTTCCACTGAAGCAATGATTTCGGCTGTTGGAATTCTGTTAGGTACAACCGCAAATTTTAGGCCGTGTTCAAGACCCTTCCTTTCCAACTCACTTAGCTCTTTAGATGAGAGGTTTTTAACCCATCTCTTCTTAAGATTCGAACCTGATTTATAAGATGGTTTCGTTCCAATCAGACGCAGCAATTTTTTGTCATGCTTCTCTCTCTGTTTGATCGACTCTTTGCGAAATTGCGCACGACAAAACTCTTCGATCCATAGGACTTCAGAGCAGTCGATCAAATCAGAAAGCTCGCAGAGTAAACGTTGACAATCAGAGCGCAGACGCTGTATAGACTGATGACAATCGTTTATACGCAACCTCAGGAAAGAAAAACCAGTATTTTCCATTAGCTTGTATCCCTTTTTACTCCTTACTCCATAAATAATGAAGCCGCTTTCGCTTGATTTAATTTGCGGTGTTTTCCCATTTTTAACATGCCCTGCCCCTAATATGTTCTAAAACTGCCGAATAATATTTTCCATTAGCTTGTATCCCTTTTTACTCCTTTACTCCATAAATAATGAAGCCGCTTTCGCTTGATTTAATTTGCGGTGTTTTCCCATTTTTAACATGCCCTGCCCCTAATATGTTCTAAAACTGCCGAATAATAGCTTATTCACAAAGTAACTCAATTAGATTTCTTTAACTACCGAAGGCTTGTGTCTTTTTAGAAGGGAATTCGTCACAATATAAAAGGTTTGAGGACTGAATCTCTCTCATTGCGTTGACAACCTACATCTCCCCGTATATTTTCGAAAGGTCACCACAGGCACCTAAAAGTCTATTAATTTAACAGTAGTATAGCATTGGGCAATTTACCTGGGTCAAAAACGTAGTTCTGGACAGGTAACCCCGGCAGGAACCTGGTTGTTTCGTGTATACATACATATGCAATTTCTGAATTCTGTTCTAGTTGACGCCAAGTCGAGGCCTCGTGCTAAATGGAGACACTACAACTTTTTGCACGAGTTGTCGTTCTCAGGTCAACTGCATGATAATTACGTTTAAACAACAGGCTGCCATAAATTGCGCATGCTAATTGCGTTATGCTAATTCATTTCTTAAGTCAGAGTTATTCTCTCCACGATAGCCTTGTTAATTATTTTGGTAACTTCTCATTGTTTTATTTGCTACATGCCTGTATATCCTTTTTTGCAGGTAACGGAAAATAATTTGCAGTACTGTAAGCCCTGCGAACGAAGCGAGTAGCAAGATTTGGGATCGCGTAGCTCTCGAGTTGCGATGAGGGACCGTGCCACCGGGGGGAAAGTTTTGAGCAATTGGGCAATTTCTCTACAGTAGGCGCAGTGCGACGTTGTAGGATGACGCATCGCTCCACAATGACGTACAACTACTGAGTAGAAAAGTGAAAGTAGTTTGGTTGGGCAAGCTTACAAATTTACTACTGTATTCCAGAGAAGGATAACGTTTAACTTATTACCATCTCTTGTAACATACTCATTTGTCAGGAATTAATACAGCATTTTAGTCTACTGCCATTTTTTGGAAGAGATTGAGTTTGAACACTACCCCACCTCCACTAACCCCACATTTGCCAATTTCCTCAACGCTAAGTATTGCGAAAGATATAATTGCAGAGACAGATTGAGTTTCAAAAGTCGATTGAAGATTGAATTCTTACTATCGTACACTGGCAGTAGAAAAGTGCTTGACATATAAACCCTATTTGTGTAATTGTTCTTTTTTCAGTGATGCGTGCATGAGGTGATAAATAATGTATATACTATTATTCTTTAGTCTCCACTAAATAATTTCAATTACAGTTAACATGAGTTTTCAGAAAAAAAATCTGCCAACTATCATGAAATATGACATGATCACATTAAACACAATTATCGTGGGAAAATTAGCTGGCAATGCACTTCCCAGAACTGTAATTTTCAAAAATTTTTTTTTTTTTGGGGGGGGGGGTGCAACCAGATCCCCCAGGAAAGGTTTCTTGCCCCTGGTTTAAGGTTCAGAAATGCCATTTCCCACATATTCTTGCACCATATCGAAGAATTAGGACAACATAAATTTCTGCAAAAATTTGCTTCATAATTGGTTTTGGTCAGTTTGTATGACTTGGTGAGGGCTAAAATCGCCAGCAAATTAGCATAGTCAAACTACCTGGCAATGAAAAAGGTCACAATTTTCAACCAAGACATTTATTTGAGGGGGGGGGGGTTACATGGAAGATATACAGCATGTAATTAGAGACATAATGTCAACTAAAACTTGTATTTACCGCTCTCTAAATTTTAAGTGTTTCCGGCACAGTGCCTATTTGAGGAGGCTTTTGTTCAAGGATGACACTCTTGAAATACAAGAATAATTTTATTTGTATCTGCCTTTACAACAAAACTGCATATTTCCAATGTCCTAGAGAGTCAGAATTCAATGAGATAGCACTGAAATATCAGATGAAAGGCCTTCGATCAAAACGTCAAATTATTCTTGTATTTTTCAGGTAGTTGCATCCCTATCAATCCAAAGCTATCTCACAAAAACATTACTAGCACTATATCTACACTGGCACAGACTGTACATAATAAACTCCTGAGATGAAGGATTGAGATGTACAGTACTGCAGTTGTTCTCAAACAATTCTGCTTTGATCAAGAGCCGGGCAGTGTTGTTGTGAGTAAGTACAGCACCTACTCAAGCACCTAGCCTCTTTAATGAGTGGCTATGCTGCACTTAATCAATAGTGGTGTTTAATTGGAGGGTAGCACTTAATTGGGGATGCCGCTTAAGAGTAAATACACTATGTGTTTTGCTCAATTATTTTTGTTTAAAAATTGTACCGATAAGCTAGTTGTGAAATTCCAAGTGGACACTACAGGGGTAGGTTAAGAAGGTTGCCCAGGCCCCAACCCAGAAGCCAAACCTAGAATCCCAAGACAATTCACAATAATTTTCCATGTATGCAGTGCAGTTGCATTTAGTGTTTCGGTTATCTGAGATCATACACCCTTGCCCCCTGAAGGTCTAGATCGGAATATTGCATTGCTGTTCAACATCAACATTTGAGGCTAACTTAATTTTCATCACTATATGCTTAATTATTTGTCATATTTAGCAGCTTTACATAGGGAATAATAATACATGGGTGCGCGGAAATACCAGATGTATTTCGAGTGTTTACTACCTACAAAATACTGAGTATATTTATGCATAATTCTAACCTAGGGCTAGGGCCTTACTGGCCATATAGTTTTGTTTTTATACCAGTTTAATATAAACGATCATAATATGCATAAAATTCGTATTAAAAACAAGCTTAATTGATACATACCATTTTATACATTTATTGGAATTTGTAGCAATGATCGATACTGTACACTTGATGAAAAGCACCATTAATATTCGGAAATACTAAATCACGTCTTATTATATGATTTCCATGAAATGATTCGAATAAAAAAGAAACTTTCTTCGGAATTCTGACTGCGTTTGAACGAAATCAAGTAAATTGACTTCCGTGTTTGGTCACATGACTTGATATGCCACAAAAATATAAGAACCTTTCCGATTGGCTGGTGCTGTACGTTCTCTGCAAACGCGCGGGAAATTCCTTGCAAAAACTGTTCTTGCAAATTATTGTGTTCAGGGGCGCTGGAGCCACGGACGCGGCTGCCCCCGCTCCCCAAACAGTGCGGTGACAACATGTTGCCTTTTTTACAAGAACCACACTTCAAAAGTCCTGCATTATTCACATGAATTGAAATTGAGAATTGTTTTCAAGCAATTCAGTGAATTCAAATTTGAATCTGAAATTCCTCTCAGAAACGTTACCAAGGTTTGCACCTTTATAAAAACTAAGTCTCTAACTTCACGACGAAGGGCCGTCGAAATTTCACTCGTATTTTCCAGGCAGTTGAATCCAGGGCCACCGAGAGAATTTTGCGGGGCCCGGGACAAATCTTCTCTGGGGCCCCCATGACATAATTATTTTCAAGCTAGACCCAAGCCAGTCGCCCAACTAGACCTTAGCAAGACGGCACGTGGAGCTACTGTAAGGGGCCCTCAATTTCAAAAATGCTCTGACCAATTTAAAGAACCTACTCAATTTTGGGCTCTCGATCTCAAGTTGGGGCCCAAGGTAGGCTCGATTACCAGCCGTTCCTTAACGCCGGCTGGTAATCGAGCCTAGGCCCAAGGTGGGGGGCCCAGGGTAATTTGCCCCTCCACCCCTCTAGCGGTCCTGGTTTAATCCCTCTCAATCCACAACTTTCTGGTGTAATTATCACTACCTACGCTGACACACACCGTTCCAGTTCAAAAAGAAATCCTTCCAAAATAATTGACAAGCTGTCATGTTGTTTTACAATGCATTTCAGTCTTTGGCGTCATGCAAGGAATAAATTAAAATCGTTATATCCTAATCTACCTATATCGGCTGGAAGTAGTTGAGTATCCGTAACAGCAAAATTTTAGAGGACATTCTGAGTTCCCTTTTTAAAGCTCGTTCTCCACTAGGCAAATTTGTTCGCGCGAAGAGTAAAAAAGTAGTAACTGATCCAACTTTTTCACGGCGAATTTTTTCGCTGACCAATCACATGGCCAAGATTTGTTTTTCGCTTCGCGCGAAAAAATTCGCCTAGTGGAGAACGGGCTTTAAATGGCTATACAGGTAAACGAATTTTAGTTTCTAAATGTAAGACAATATTCTAGCATTATTTCACGAATCAAATAAACTATATTTTCAACGAATTATTATTCTATAAATAGCCGGAACGTGATTCTGTTGCCGGACGCTTCTGATATTCAATTGAGAGCGCCTAAATGTCAAAAACGACTATTGCTCCCAACCCGTTTTCCGTGAGGTGACCGCGTATCACGTAAAACTGCTCTAAAGAAAAAAAAAGACAATTCCCCTGTTTACGGACGGTTTACATGATCCTGGGACGAGATGAGACTATGAGAGACGGGATGATTTTGACGAATTGGAATAAGCCACGGTTCACGATTAGCAAAACTGCATCAGTATTTTCCTAGTGAGAGCAGTTTAAAGGCCCGGTCACGCTACACAACGATAACAATAACTTGTAAACATGCGATGAATGGTCGGAAAAAATTATTTTGGTGTCCACACTACAACGAAAATGATAAAATTATCGTTTGACGATAACGATTTTAAAATCCCACACCGAGCAATTTTGTTTTCAGTCGGACGATAACAATAAATTTTTGACCAATCAGCGCGCGTATACAAGTTATCGTATCGTTATCGTTGTGTAGTGTGACCAGGGCTTAATTGTAAATGAAATGTTGTTCAAGCAGAAATTACATCTTCTCGATCTATGAGATCTTTTCGCCAACATTTCAGTTCCATTAACCGGAAAATCAACTTTCGTTTTAAGCCTATTGATTTATTCCAATACATCAAAATCATCCCGCCTTCCATCCCGTCCCAACAAACCACTCATGTCAACAACTCCTTAATAAGCTTTCCTCGGGAATTTTCTGGTATCCGGTTTGGATTTTACCAGGGCCGCTCGCCGCGCTCTGCTGACCCGCGCGTAGGAAAGTGGGCGGTCGAAATGCTCGAACATAACCCATTATTATCTATCTTTTTAATAACGTTAGCGTAAATCTTCAATCAACACTCCCTCCACAGTTTAAATACAGTGCATACTCGAAAACATGCTCGAATAATATAAACTCTATAATGAACGTTTGGTTGAAAATGAATAAGCCCAATGCATCCACAAAATCATTGATAATATACTACTAATGCTCTGAAAATAAACCTATAAGAATTGCAAAAATTCAAGTAAATTAAACTTAAGTAATTGAAAAAATATAATAGTAGTTTGATTTCAGAAACACCATATTTATTAACAAATTTGGAAATGTTTCTGTGTTGTTATTTCTGTAATTGTACAGCACGTGCAGAACACATGGCCAGCAGTAGCTATAACACCATGTGATTGGTTCTTTAAGTTGTATAAAAAGTGCCATTTTAACATGTTCTGACCGACTGAAAACCTTTCAAAAGTTCAAAACAAATGTATTCGGTATTACAAAAATAACCTTCGTTGTGGTCAGTCAGATGCCTCGTGGATATGGTTCTTGCCAGAGCCCCTCGTTGCCCTCCGTTAACCATGCGTAAGAAGGGCTTTCGGTGTGAGAAACGATCGGCTGCCATATCAAGTACTTAATTTTATGTTATATAAACATTTCATTTTTTCGACTCACAATTGCTTATTACGTTGCGGATCTTCACACCATCATTGCATTTGGCCTTTATATTATTCATTAATTACCATTTCAGAAAATCGGCAAATTCATTAATGAACAGTCGGGGTTGTCCGTTCTTTTCAAACAAGCAATGCAAGAAAAGTTTCTTCTCCGCATGTTGCCTTTCACATTGTATACCAAATTTCAAATTCAAATACCAAACACTTGGTTCCACTCTTGTGCATCACTGACATCAAAATTATACTGGATTAAGAACAATTATGCAGTGGTCTATTAAAAATGTGGGGAACGAGGCACGGCTCAGGCTTTTTAACAGTGGGGTTCCTAATCTCGTTCCTCTTTTACAATTTAAGAGGATTCGCAGCTGCGACTACGCCTCGAATAATCGACTGTGTGTCGAATAAATGTACTTAGTCAGGAACGCCGGAACGATGTGAAGGCAAGGGGGCAGATTTTCGTGAAAGGGCACTTTTGAATTGATATATACTAAGAGATGTTTGCAAAACATCGGGAGTTGAACTTCGCCTAATCATGTTTTCTATTTATTGGATGATAGGGGTGTGAGGGGGTTCTCCGCCAGGCGATTGTGCTATTCTTGAAGCTCGATCGATGACTGCATTTCTTGCGCTTTCTGAAGCAAATTCGTAAAAGAATTGCACTAACAAAGTTTGACAATTTGCTATTTCGCCAAGGCAATCCTTTAAATTGAAAGGGCACATTTGCCCCCCCCCCCTGCCCCTCCTGGTAAAGGGCAACGGGGGCGGCTGCCCTTCCTCCCCCCCCCATTCCGGCGTCCCTGTACTTAGTTAATTAAACCAGAGTTGTAAAAGTGACTTATTTTCTTTTGAACTAGTTCCATGCTCAAAAAAGAAACTAGTTACGGTAAAAGTTTTTCATAAAAATATAACTAACTAGTTACCATGAATTTTTTCTGTGTTGGTGTAGTGTACTCAGGTGAATATGATATTTGTGGTGTTACTCTGAGTGTATATCCACACCGGGCGAGCTTGAAAAATATGCCCGGCCACGGTGGGATTCGAACCTACGACCTTTGGAATACTAGCCCAATGCTCTTCCAACTGAGCTACGCGGTCAGGACGGTTCAAGTAAGTGATATTTCGGAACAGAATCTAGTTCCTTCAATACCAATGTTTTCTAGTAATATGAATTTTTTTCACAGAAAAAATTCATATGACTAGAAAACATTGTTATTGAAGGAACTAGATTCTGTTCCAAAATATCACTTACTCGAACCGTCCTGATCGCGTAGCTCAGTTGGAAGAGCATTGCGCTAGTATGCCAAAGGTCGTAGGTTCGAATCCCACCGTGGCCGGGCATATTTTTCAAGCTCGCCCGGTGTGGATATACACTCAGAGTAACATCGCAAATATTATAACTAGTTACCGTTACAAAGTTACTTCACGATTTTTGTAACTAGTTAAAAAGAGTCAGTTTCTTTCTATTGTCTTTGTCTGCGCGGTCGGACACGAAGTTGCCAGGAGTGTGCCGATTTCGATTTAAAAACTAATGTTATGATTTTATTAATTAACTGAAAAGTGAAAACTTTGATTAGCGATACGGCCCGTTAGAAAAAACTGGAATCAGCTGGGAAAAAATAGTATTATAAACTGTTTATATACGGCCTTCGTAACCACTGGACGTCAATTCCACCATCTGTTCCTACTTCATATATGGCATATATAGAGAGAGGTCACTGGTCGCGCTCTGCTGACCGCATGTCAGAAGGGTTCTGTGTATAAGAGAGTGGGCAGCCGAAGTGCTCGAAAATAACCCATTATGTATCTTTTCAATAACATTAACGTAAATCCTTAATCAACTCCCTCCCCCTAGGGAACCGTTTAACAACACAGCGCATGCTTGAACACATGTTCGTTCAGTATAAATGTTATAATCAACGTTTGGCTGACAACACGCCTCTTGAATAAAATCATTAATAATGTATACAGCTTAATATATTCAAGTAAAATAAACTTAGCAGTTGTAAAAATATAGTAATAGTTTGATTTCACAAAGACACAAACACTGTATGACCGTGATTTTTTCTGTGTTGGTGTAATGTACTCAGGTGAATATGATGCTTGTGATGTTACTCTGAGTGTATATCCACACCGGGCAAGCTTGAAAAATATGCCTGACCACGGTGGGAATCGAACCTACGACCTTTGGAATACTAGCCCAATGCTCTGCCAACTGAGCTACGCGGTCTGGTCGGTTCGAGTATGTGATATTTCGGAACAGAATCTAGTTCCTTCGATATCAATGTTATCCAATAATAATCATGATTTTTTCTGTGTTGTAAATCGATATCAATGTTATCTTCGATATCAATGTTATCTAATAATAATCATGATTTTTTCTGGGCTAGTATTCCAAAGGTCGTAGGTTCGATTCCCACCGTGGTCAGGCATATTTTTCAAGCTTGCCCGGTGTGGATATACACTCAGAGTAACATCACAAGCAACTGTATGACCGTGTTTACATAATGACGCTAGGGTTAGCATTGCGTTAAAAATTCACTACGTTTCTTAAGCCCCGGTCAAACGACGGTTGATGACGAATTATTACATTGGAAACGCTATGTTAACCAAATAAAGTTCCCAAATAAAGGTTGATAAGTCTTCCGACCAGCATTAAGAAAAGCTAACTAATTAAGGTCGCGTGATTTCAACTCTCACGCCTGCACTCTCATCCCTGTTTGTTCCGGGCTTTAGTATTGTGTTTAATTTGTAACGGAGTGGTTTGCCGTAGCGTAACAACTACGAACCACCACGTTTGCTACTCCGGATGCAAATCAATACGCTACCATAACTTTGCCGTAGCGTCATAGTGTAAAGGCCGTTTTTCACTTCAAGCGTACCGTACCGAAAGTATAATTTTTTTTAAAAAAAATTTACGAATTTAGTGAATGTTGATTATTTAATACTTCCGTAGTACGCCAAAAAATTGACTTGCGACGAACTTTTCATTTTCATACGCGAATACACCCTGCAGGAGTACGTGAATTTATCAACCTATTTTCAATCTAAGCATGCTCACCAGTACCTTTCCCAATTCGTTACGATACGTGGCGAAGTGGAAAACGGTCATAAATTCGGTCTGTATTTATTAATAGGTTTGGAAATGTTTTTGTATTGTTATTGCTACAATTGTATAGCACATGCAGAACACGTGACCAGCATGTAGCCATAACTCCATTCGATTCATTCTCTAAGTAGTATAAAAAGTTCCATTTTGACAAGTTCAAAACGAATGTATCCGGTGTTAGAATAATAATCTTCCTTGCGGCCAAGCAGTTGCCTCGTTGATATGGTTCTTGCCAGAGCCCCTCATTGCCCTCCGTTGACCACGCGTAAATCGTGCGAGAATGTTCGGCGGACATTTCAAGTACTTAACTTTATGTTGTATGAACATTTCAGTTTTTTCGACTCACAATTTCCTATTATGTTGCGGATGTTCACCCCATCACTATATATGGCTTTATTATTCATTAGTTACCATTTCAGAAAATCGGCAAATTCATTGCTGAACAATCGGAGCTGTCCGTTTTCTTCAAACAAGCAATGCAAGAAAAGTTTCTTCTCCACAGCCTGCCTTTCACATTGTATACCAAATTCTTGCACGAGTTTAGCAATAACTTTCGACTGAATTTCCTCGTAAAGTTCAAGACTGCGATCGTAAAGTAGAAGAGTGTGCGGCTTTAAATAGGTCCTTGGCACACTAGACTGTACTTTTACAATAAATCTCTTGCCATCTCGTGATGGTGGAGGACTGAACTTTGGACCAATTTCTTCTAGGCTTTTCGCATGATGTTTAATCATACCATCACCACCAACCCTTTTCATCGAAGTGATTAGACAGCTCGCCTTTCCACGTAAAACCTTGCATAGTTTCTTATGCTTCGACCAGTGGCCTTCTAGGCAAGCTTTGTTGCAATACACAGCAGTAAAGCACTTTCCACACCTCTTCGGTTCGCACTTCTTACGACAATTTGAGCAATATGGAACGGCAAAATTCAACTGCCTGACGTTTTCACTTTCTTTGTTATTGTGAACTTCATTGTCCAGGCATTTTGCGGATTGAAGGGAATTGGGAGACTTTAAATACGACTTCCTTAAATCAACATTTGCGCTCGGCCTTCCATCCATTTCACATTTGTTCACATTGTCCAAAAATCCAGGACCAATATTGTCATAAATTTTATTTAGTTCGACGACAGATGGAGAAAACTCTTTTCCCGCAACTCTATATCCCACACGTACTCCGCCAGCTTTGTTGCGAAAAACTCTATTCATCGATACATTGCACCATGAATTGCTCATGGACCAAATTCCCCACCAACCGTTGTCAAAAATATTGTTCTCTTTGATATCCACCTCAGAACTTACCATCTCTAATCCAAATTCGTTATTGCCAAAAATGTTATTACGCATAATCCTGACATTCTTTGAGCGCTCGACAAGGATCCCGTCTTCGTCATTGTGGCGAATATCACAATTAACTACGACACACTTTGACGCTTCGGGTCCAATTTGGCACCCATGCACACGATTGTTATACATGCGACTGCTTTTCACAATCAACGTTCCGCCGTTAAACACTAGTAAGCCAAAGTGCCCATTGTTACAAAAGGAACAGTCAACGACAACCATATTACCTGGTCCAAAACATCCTAACCCAGCATAGTTGCCGTTTATAAAATTACAGCTTTCTGCATTAAATTCACCCTCGCTTGCAACAATAGGAGCGTTTTTATTATTATCTTTGCCGCTAAAATTGCAGTTGAGAATTTTGACCAAGGAACCTCGGCGACCACAAACCTGACCCTCCTCAAAATAAAACGAAACATTGGTAATCATGCACTTATTCAACAAATAAACGTTTGTATGACCTCCGAACTTCAGAACAACGGAACAGTTTATCCTTGCACCAACTAGAATACAGTTACTCAAAACTATACCAGGATCAACTAAATCAGAATTTAAGAAATAATCTTTCGATCCCAGTACGAGAATTGTTAGCAAGTTTGCTTCCACTTTCTGAGAACGCTCAGCGTTTGAAATCAGTTGATCCACAGTATCGCATACAAAAATGTGTTTCTGCAAATCAAAAAAAGATTCCTTGAAAGGAGAAAAATCTGAGAAAATAGCCCTGTTGTGATAAAAAGCTAAAGAAGCAGCTATTTCAGCACTGACTTTCTCATTCAAGCCATCAAGTGCAAGAGCTTTTCTAGCATAACCCCTCCAGCAATCTGGACGACGCGTTATGTAATCATTTGCATCTTTTAAAGCATCTTCGTATTGCCCTAATTTTAAGTACACTGTCGCACGGTTAGTAAGCAACAAGGGATTGAAAGCAGTATTACACTCTTGGGCCATATCTATTGCAGAAGAATAAACATCTAATGCTTCCTTGTAACGACCCTTTTTGAAACTCTTGTTTCCATCTAACTTCAATTTCTCCAATTTCTCTTCCAAATCGTTTACATGAAGACAACTAGCATCAGAACCAGGTTTTTCAGTCAGCGGTGCAAGTGAAGCAAAAGGAGGCATACAACATCGTTTAACCACAATCTGAATTGATTTTGATAAAGGAATAGAAAGTGGAAACAAGGAATTATTTGAAACACTGCATTTTACCGTTTCATACTCTGCTACAGGAACCCAGTCTAATATACGATACCCAAAGTTCAAAAGGCGTTGTGCTTCTTCCTGCCTATAATTTGCACTCATATGAACAGCACATTCATAAAGGATTTTGGCAGTTGCTGGAAACCACACTGGATCTAGATAGACTGAATCAAGAGTTACCAACAGATCCTCCATAGTTCTGCAGAGATGATGACCATGCATACAAAACTTAGACCACATATAAAAGTGAGAAGGACTACTAGGTAAATCTGAGGAAGATATATCTTGTTCTTCATCAATCGTTTCATCTAGACTTACAAGATTATTCGGTGAAGAACATTTAGAGAATGCATAAGAAAGTATCCGCCCAGCATCGATGAAACTCTCTGCTTTAGACTCTGGATTAAGACTTTCTCTGACTAGTTCCTGAACCAAGCGATGGGTACTGACAGAATGCGGCTGAACGTGCGTGAAAAGTGAAAAGTCAGTCAACAATTTTAGAACCTGACGGCAACCCAACGGCGATGACACGCATTCACGATACGCGACGTCCTCCACTTCAGGTGTTCCAACGTTGACCAACTCTTTTTCAATCTCACTTCCATTGAAAAATGAACTAGCATTCATAAATCGAATAGCAGCATGACCGTTCGATCGCTTCTTCATATATTCCATATTGATAAGCCATGTTGTGTGAACTGCCAAACGTTCAGATGACTCTTTGCCTGGTGATACAGGGCGTCCCTGTTGTTGACTCAGCAGTCGCAAGCGTTCAGTTTTATATTGCTCCAGGTATGAGGACAAAGTGCAACTAAGCGTATCAATACAAGCTCCAGCTTGTTCCAAAGCAAGTGGAAGTCTCCCCAGCTCTTCGCAAAGGCATTCTGCGATACTCTCTACATTTTCATCAAGGTCCACGCCAGTTCTCGAAGAGAGAAATTCCTTTGCTTCTTTAGAGAGGAAACATTTGAGTTGAAGAAAAGAATCCTTCTCGAAGACTGAAACTTCATTAACAAGTAGTTTTGGGTTTCTTCTTGTTAGCACGACAAAATGTCCAAGGATATTTTCTTGTGCAGGAAAGGAAAGAAATTTAATCATATTGGACGACAGGTCCAGTTGATCCAAGCAGTCAAGGACAATAAGACATGGATCATGTGATCTGCTAATTTGTTTCAGTGTATTTGACAAAGTTAAATCAAATGAACCAAGTAACGCATCAATCTTTAATGCGACGTCGTTTACTGTTTTCTCAAGAAACGTATCATCTTCAGCCGAGAACCAATAAACACCTCCTTGGTAGAAATCCTTCATCTGATGAGCATACTCGGAAGCTAAGCTTGTTTTACCAATTCCACCCAAACCGCATACTGCTGCAACACGAACTTTCTTTTCTTTCGACGTTTCCTCAACTTTCAGAATACGTTTAAGCTCCTGGATTTCTTTAATTCGACCAGCGAAATAACGATTGCGTTGGGGTGCAGTGAAGACATAGGGGATTTTCTCCTCTTCCTTAATATAACATCTTGAAAGTTCCGTCGTACATTTCTGCTCAAGAAGTTTTATTACTTCAGAATATCTTTCTATTCTCGTCTTGTATTTTTCTATTTCCAAGGTATTGTTAGCTCCCTGAATCTCGCATTTTCCTATTTTCAAGGTATTGTTAGCTCCTTGAATCTCGCATTCTTCTATTTTCAAGGTATTGTTAGCTCCCTGAATCTCGCAATTTTTCACTCTCATGCGCAGGTCGTCTATTTCTTCATTCAAGGTTGACTGAATCTCACTAATATTCGAAAGTAGTGTTGTTATCTGTAAAATGACAAATATATTACGTGATGCAAAGAAAATTTTAAATATTATTTGAAAAAATAATATTATTTGCGTCCTTCACAGTTGATGGACACTTTAAATATTAATCTGTGCGTTGGGTCCCAGCGAATGGTGGAGAATGCAAACTGAGAACTTGTGTGTATGATGCAACTACCTGAAAAATAGAATTTCAAGGTTTCGAGCGAAAACTTCTACTAGTCTTCTGATCGTGAGAGAAAAAACGCCTACGTGGAACAAAGTGTGCAGAGGTATACAAATTGTTATGATTAACCAAATAAATTAAAACCTGATTTTTCTTGAGCATCCACGTCTGGACAGCTTCGCGAACTTCGTCGATTTCAATCTTGAGTAAAGTCAAGATTTCAACGTCGACAGGTTGACCGAAACACAACTGCAACCCTGTAACAAATTGATTTATTTTTATTTATTTATTAAAATTATCTCATTCGATAAAACTGAATGTTGAATGGTTTTCGTTAAAAGAAATTTCCAGTGGCAGTATAATTTTGAAAAATTTAAAAATTATAATAAAAATTTATAAAAATTATAAAAATATAAATTATATATTTATTATAAAAATTTATAATTTTAAATGTTGAACGGTTTTTGTAAATAGAAATTTCAAGTGTAATAAATTTTATTCATTTTTAAATCAAACCAAGGGCAGCTGTAAAAAACGCAACAATAGCCATACCGCAGGGAATGCAACTTGCAGTCCTGTGAATCCAGGGCAGGACTAGAGTCACAGAATACTACACAGAAGTCCATCTCCATTGTTTTTTGCGTAAGCGTTATTCGTCATGATTCGTCACTCAGCAAGTACCGTAAACAGAAGCAGTCACCCCCCTGGACGTTCGCCATTTTTAGTATTTCCAGGGGGGAGACTGCTTCTGTTTACGGTACTTGCTGAGTGACGAATCATGACGAATAGCGCTTACGCTAAAAACAATGGAGATGGCCTTCTGTGTAGTATTCTGTGCTAGAGTCAAGCTGACGAGTCAATCTGACGAGTCAAGCTGACGAGTCAAGCTGACGAGCAGAGTCAAGCTGACGAGCTTTAACGGTTGAACTTGCTCTTTAATCAAATCAAATCAACTTTATTTTACCAGGGTAGACACGTCAGTTCAGAAGAACTGGTATCAATGTGAGCCCTGAGTCGACCACTTGTCTCTGCCTAGCTCAGTTTGTTATAGCACTCCACCAGTTTATTCCACCAGTTTATTGCTGCTACTGTACACTTAGAAATCATCTATATTTAGAGAGATTTGCAATGAAGATTCATGTCTTACCATCATTACTGTCGATGCAATGGAAGTGTTGATAAAATATTGCACGAATTCATTTCCTCAAGTTGATCAATTCATACGAATTCAAATTTCTTTTTACTTCCTGTGCGTTTCCTATTGGTGAATCGGTTCTGAAACGAAATCTAATTGGCTCATCTAAAAGTAACAGGAAGTTGATCAATTTTCTATCAAATGAATTGATCAACTTGAGGAAAGGAATTGGTGCAATATTTTATCAACACTTCCATTGCATCGACAGTAAATGTTTACATCAACCTAACATATTATCTCTTTTGGACGAAATTGCGAGTTTAAATTGTATACATTTCTAGACGTAACCAGAAGCAGAACTATTGGTCTCTCGCAGGAATCGAACCAGCGGTCCTGCAATTGCGGATCCTGTCAGAGAGCCAATAGTTCTGCTTCTGGTTACGTCTAGAAATGTATAAAATTTACACTCGCACGATTTCCGTCCAAAAGAGGAGATAATATGTTAGGTTGATGTAAACATTTAATGATGGTAAGACATGAATCTTCATTGCAAGTCTCTCTAAATAGATGGTTTCTAAGTGTACAGTAAAACAGACAGTTTTGTCTAGGCATACTTCAAGCAAGTGAATTGTAATTAATTCTTTACCTTTATCTTTCCAACCATTCAGTTCATCACACAATTTCTGTTCATCTTGAGGTGACAAATTCACGTTCTTAAGTAAAGTTTCCATATTTTGAAAAGCAGCAATAAATTTTGCTTCAGTCCAATTTACAAAGTTGCAATGTGCCCAGTCGTTTCTGATATCTGATCGAACTGTCTTTGCATGAGCAGCAGCTCCTATAAATGGTGCAGCTTCACAAATCACTGATAAGACTGCAGATATGTCCATTGTTTGATCAAAGCCAGTGAACTTGGACATGAATGGCTGAACAAACAACTTTGCCAAAGATAAAGGATGTGTAACTGCATAATTAAATGCACGAGGTGATCTAAGGGCATCATTGTTGTTGATATTTTTATACTTGAGGTCTAAAGTTGATGGGTTTAACTGTATTTTATGTCGACCATAAACTTGTTTGTCAATTTCGCTCGGCGGTTGACATAAAACCTGATGCCAGTTTGCTATTTCGGTTGCAAGAACATTCCTCAATGCAGGAGTAAGCACTTTGGTCAAACATACACCAATGACAACCCATCTTCTTTCATCGTCCGTTATAGAAGTTGAAGTGCAGGCAGTAGCCATTACTGATCTACAATTATTACAAAAAATATGTTCTTTGAGTGTGTATACCTTAGCGCCCTAATCAGGGTCGTAGCTAGCATTTTAGATTTTGAGAGTGTTTCTAAATTTCAAGGGTGTGTACGTTCCAATTACCAGAATAACCAAATGCTTGGTTCCAGTTATGCTTGCCAACAATGGAGTATATGCCTGCGGTTGTTCTTGCTTACAACCAAATACAAGGCGAGCATACGCTCATATTTCCCTGCACTGAGATTACAGTGAGCTAGTTTAAGAACTCTCAAGGCATTTAAAACCATTTTATTACCATTACAACATAGCTTGGAGGAAATTCTATCTGTTGTTAGTAGCAACACTCCATTTTATGAACTTACAGGGCTTTACATAAATAATGAAGCCGCTTTCGCTTGATTTAATTTGCCGTGTTTTCCAATGTTATAACATGGCCTTCTACAGTAGTTAAGACCCTGCCCCTAATATGTTCTAAAACTGCCGAATAATAACTTATTCACAAAGTAAACTGAATTAGAACTCTTTAACTACAGAAGCCTTGTGTCCTTTAGTAAAGGAAAATTTGTCATAATATAAAAGGTTTGAGGTCTGAAACTCTCTCTTCACGTTGAAAAACTAACCTCCTCCCCTTCCTCCACGTACATTTTCGAAATTTCCACCACAGGCACTTAAAGTGTATTAATTTAACTGTAGTATAGCATTGGGCAATTTAACTGGGTCATAAACGTACTGTAGTTCTGGACGGGTAATCCCGGCAGGAACCTGGTTGTTTAAAGGTGCTACGTGTATACGTACTGTATATACAATTTCTGAATTATGTTTTAGTTGATGCCAAGTCGAGGCCTCGTGCTAAATTTGCTGTGGAAACATTACAACTTTTTGCACGAATTGTCGTTCTCAGCTCAACTGCATCATAATTACGTTTAAAAAACTGCCATATATTGTGCATGCTATAATTGCGCTATGCTAATTGATTTCTTAAGTCAGAGTTATACTCTGCACGATAGCCTATAGTTAATTATTTTGGTGACTTCACATTAAAACTTGCTACATGGCTGTATATTCTTTTTTGCAGGAAATCAAAAATAACCTGCAATACAGTAAGCCATGCGAGCAGCCAGAGCAGGTTTGAGATCGCGTAGCTCTCGAGCTGCGATGGGGACCGTGCCAGCGGGGGAAAGTTTTGAGCAATTGGCCACTTTCTCTACAGTTGGTGCAGTGACACGTTGTAGGATGCCGCACGAGTCCACAATGACGCACTGCTCCATAATGAGTCAATGACGACTACTGAGTAGTACAACTACTGAGTAGAAAAGTGAAAGTAGCTTGGTTGGGCAAGCGTACGTATGTGTCAAATTTACTAATGAATTTCAGAGCAGAGTAACGTTTAACTTAATACCATTTCTTATAACATACTCATTTGTCAGGAATTAATACAGCATTTTAGTCTAGCACCGTTTGTTTTTTTGAAGAGATTGAGTTTGAACACTACTCCACTTCCACCAACCCCATCCCGTCTAGCTACCCCCGTAAAATTCTTGATTTTGGCTCTATGAAATAACATTTCCCACATTCAGACAGCACTTTTGTGCAAAATCACAACCCTTTTAAAACAGGTTTTTAACGGCGTGTTGAAGAATGCACAACGATCAAGTACTTTCCTCCTTTTAAAGTTCATCATACTCATTTGCCAATTTTCCTCAAAGCTATTATTGCGAAAAATATAATTACAGAGAAAGATTGAGTATGAAAAGTCAATTGAAGATTGAGTTCTTACTATCGTACACCGGCAGTAGAAAAGTGCTTGACATATAAACTCTGTTTGTGTAATTGTTCTTTTTTTCAGTGATGCATACATGAGGTGATAATGTAATATATACTAAATCATTCTTTAGTCTCCACTAAATAATTTCAATTGCAGTAGTTTTCAGAAAGATATCTGCCTACTATCAGGAAATATGACATGATCACTTTAAACAAAATTATCGTGGGAAATAGCTGGTAATAATGCACTTCCCAGGACTCAGTAATTTTCAAAATTTTCA